CATATTCTAGTTTTATTTCCCTTGATGAGTGTATTGCTTTCCTTTTTTTTTTTTTTTTTTTTTGGTGTTTGTTTTTTGTTGTTGTTGTTGTTTTTAGGATTTTTTTTGACAGAGAGAGTACAAGCAGGGGAGTAGCAGGCAGAGGGAGAAACAGACTCCATGCTAAGCAGGGATCCTGACACAGGGCTCCATCCCAGGACTCTGTGATCATGACCCGAGCCAAAAGCAGACACTTAACCAACTGAGCTACCCAGGTGCCCCATTTCTTTTGATTTTATAAGAAAATAGGCTTTTTAATTGCATACTTATACTTGATCTTTTTTCCCTAAAAAACAGGTACAGCTGTCTCCCGAGGAGAATGGTATTTTGATGCGCCATGGTCAACATGAACAAAATTTCATCTTTTCTTCATGAACGGTTGGGTGGCATAATCGCCTGCATTTCCCTTTGTTGCACATGACTCATGCTTAAGTAACCAGCCATGTGTTTCAAGGGAATAATCAGTTTGAATAACTCAGCAGTGGAAATGTAATTAAAAGAAACTCAGTTACATGTAGTAAAGAAAAGTCAATCTGTGAAAATTTCAACTCAGCCCATTTGTATATCTTTCTTAGTATAAAGTATGTTAAGGTTTTATTAATGCCTTTAAAAATAAATGGTAAATTTTTTTAACCTTGACTATAGGAGTAATTTTCTTTAGAATATATATGGTGAGGTAAATCTGTATAAAAATGTAGGAAGAGAACTTCTCAGACTTAGAAGGCAGCAGGGTGAACATACAGCAGTTGTAAAGCCATGTTGTTGACAATTCAAATTTGGGAAACAAAGCTTATGTGAATCTGAGCGTCATGGCACTGGACTAGCCAGTCAGGGACCATGGCTCTGTTCCACTTCTTGGAAGTCATACTGTCATTCTCCTCTCCATACTTTGTCTTATCTGCCTGCCTCTCTGTCTTCTGGCCTCCTTCAGATTTTCCTCATGCACACTGCCTAACGTGGCTGTCCATGCTCTTGTGCTTTCATCACTGCCTTGCATTACCACCTACTATCCATCTGACTGTATCTCTGTCCGTTCAAATTCTCAGGAGAGGTAGAGAATCCTTTTGTTTCATTTGAGTCTAAGGATTGGTATCCATGCACCTGGGATGCTCCCTACCTTTTTAGCTGTGGAAGAAGAGTTAATATAAAAAGCTATTTCTTTCAGAAGTTTCGCCTGGACAAACTAAAGGTATGTAACGTATTTGTAGCAGCCCAGTACATGTTTGTGGAGTGTGTACAGGCACCAGATGGTAATACATGCTGTAGACAGAAATGAAGCAGGGGAAGGGATTGGGCAGAGGTTGCAATTGGAGCGTGGATGCTTTTTTAAAAAGAATGGTCAAGGGGTCACCTGGCTAGCTCGGTTGGGAGAGCATGCGACTCTTGCTCTTGGGGTTGTAAGTTCAAGCCCCACGTTGGTTGTAGAGATTATTAAAAAGTTAAAAAGAGGGGCGCCTGAGTGGCTCAGTGGGTTAAGCTTCTGCCTTTAGCTCAGGTCATGATCGAGCCCCACGTCAGGCTATCCGCTCAGCGGGGAGCCTGCTCTCCCCACCCCTCACCTGTCAAATAAATAAATAAAACCTTTAAAAAATAGATAAAAATTTAAAAAAATAAAAGTAAAAAGAATGGTCAGGGAAGCTGAGGTGACATCTGAGCACAGATGCGAAGGAAATGAGAGCCATTAATGTAAGTAGAGAGAGAACCTCCCTGGCAAAGGAAATGACAAGTGCAAAGGCCCTAAGAGTGAATTTGGCAGGTTCACGGAATGGCAAAGAAACCAGTGTGGCTGGAATGGAAGTGAACGAGGAGGAGAGATTAAAGAGCTGAAGGTAAGAGAGGTAGCCAGGGGTCAGGTCACATGTAGGCCACTGTAAGGTCTTCTGCAATTATTTTCATTTGGGATCCATTGAAAGGTTTTGAACCAAAGATATAGCATTATCTGATTTATTGAAACTGTCTTATGACTGTTGTGTTTGTGTTGAAAATAGACAATAAGATTCAAGGGAGGCAGTAGGCTGCTGACTGGTTAAGACCAGTGGTTAGTAGTGGTTGGACCTGAGTGTAATTTTAAAGTAGAGCTCAGCCTTTGCCTATAGAATGATTGCATGTGGAGTGTGAAAGAGAAATCAAAGATGACTTGGGCCTCAGCAAGTAGAACAAAGGTGGAACTTACTGACATGGAGAAGTTGGCATGAAGAGTACTTGAGGGAAAGGAAGGATAGGAGTTGGGTTTAGACAAGTGAAATCTGAGATGAAACTCATAGCTCATATTAAGAGGAGTTAGATAGGAGTCAGGAGTTCAGAGGAGAGATCTGGGCTAGAAATGAAAATGTAGAAGTTCACACAGACTTGGAATTTCAAGCTGTTCAACAGGACCAGATCTCCAAGCAAGTGCATTTACACAGAGATGTCCGAGAACTCCAGAGTACCCCCAGTGTTTAGACATCAGATATGAGAAGCAGTAAAGGAGACTGAGGGAACTCAGTGAGTTAGGAACAAACCCAGAAGGGGTGCCCTGGAAGGCAAATGAAGCATTTGAGGAGGGACTGATGGGCCACATCAGAGTTACTGCTGGGTTAGATGATGTTAACAAGTAAAGTAGGATGAGGTTTGAGAAGTATTGAACATTGCTCATTGAATTGAGCAATGTTGAGATCACTGGTGACCTTCATAAAAGCTGTTTTGGTGGAATGGAGAAGAGAAAAGCCTTGTGGGAGAGAATGTAAGAACTGAATATTGCACCGTATAAACAACTCTTCCAAGGAATTTTGCATTTCTGAATTTGTTATATTTGTATATCAGTAAAATCATATATAACTTTGAGGGGGGTTTTGGTAAATCTTAGTTCATTTGTGTACATGTTTTTGAATGTGTCAGTTGTTTACAAGGAATTTCTTACTGTGAGTCCTGGTAAAAATCTGAAAAATACGAAGTTAGAACAAGATGATGTAGGTATTGTTGGATAAGAGGTTGAGGATAGTAGGGGATATTTCTCATGTGGGTAGAGTGGAAGGATTTCGGGAGTTGCAGAGGGTTAAATAGGTGATCAGAAAGGGAGGAGTTTAGAAACAAAAGGGTGGTGAGGGTTGGCCTAGGCGGCCTGTGGAGACAATGTATACTAGAATAAAACAGGACTGTAATCTTACACTCTAAAAATACTTTGTCATGGAAGTATTCCATTGTTCGTGAAGGGCGAGAATTATTTTAGCTTTGCAAGCTAGTCACATATTTTTTAAACCTTTAAAAATGTAAAAAAGAGTCTTAGTTCTAAGCCTATGTAGTTTCAGGCCACACTTTGCTGGCCCCTGCTTTACACTAGACACCCTTGCTGGCTTTGAAGAGATCATTTATGTGGAGTTCTCTTCATTTTTAAAATACCATTTTTAGGGTTACCTGGGTGGCTCAGTCGTTGAGTGTGTGCCTTTCCCAGGGTCCTGTATTCGAGCCCCACATTGGGCTCCCTGCTTGTCAGGAAGCCTGCTTCTCCCTCGCCTACTCTCCCTGCTAGTGTCTTCCCTCTCTTGCTGTGTCTCTCTCTGTCAAAGAAATTTTTAAAATCTTTGATTTAAAAAAAAAAAAAAAACAAAAAAAAAAAACATTTTTAGGGACACCTGGGTGGCTCCACTGGTTAAGCATCTGCCTTTGACTCAGGTCATCTCCCCATGCTTGCCTCTCCCCCTACTTGTGCTCTTTCGCTGACAAAATCTTCAAAAATTTTCAAAATTCAAATTTTTTAAATTAAAGATTTTTGAAATTTAATAAAATATTTTTAAAAATTATTTATTTATTTGACATAGAGAGATCACAAGTAGGAAAAGGAAAAGCAGAGCCGAGCAGAGAGCCCAACGAAGGGCCCGATCCCAGGACCCTGAGATGACAACCTGAGCCAAAGGCAGAGGCTTAACCCACTGAGCCACCCAAGTGCCCCAAAATTTAATAAAATCTTTTTAAAGAATATATTTTTTAAGATTTTATTTATTTATTTGACATAGATCACAAGTAGGCAGAGAGGCAGGCAAAGAGAGAGGAAGGGAAGCAGGCTCCCCGCCTAGCAGAGAGCCTGATGTGGGGCTCGATCCCAGGATCCTGGGATCATGACCTGAGCCGAAGGCAGAGGCTTTAACCCACTGAGCTACCCAGGTGCCCCCCAATTTTTTTTTTTTTAAGATTTTTATTTATTTATGACACAGAGATAGCGAGAGAGGGAACACAAGCACAGGGGAGCTGGAGAGGGAGAAGCAGGCTCCCTGCTGAGCAGGAAGCCCATATGGGGCTCGATCCCAGGACCCTGGGATCATGACCTGAGCCAAAGGCAGATGCTTAACTTACTGAGCCACAGGTGCCCCCAAAATCTTAATTTTTTAAAAAAAATCATTTGTCTCAGTGGGTTAAAGCCTCTGCCTTCGGCCCTGGTCGTGATCCTGGGGTCCTGGGATCGAGCCCCAAATCGGGCTGTCTGCTCATCGGGGAGCCCGCTTCCTCCTCTCTCTCTCTCTCTCTACCTACTTGTGATCTCTGTCAAATAAATAAATAAAAATCTGTTAAAAAAAAAAAATCATTTGTCAGCGAGTGAGGGAACACAAGCAGGCCAAGCTGGAGAAGGAGAAGCGGGCTCCCCACTGAGCCGGGAGCCCAACGTGGGGCTCGATCCCAGGATGCCAGGATCATGACCCAAGCTGAAGGCAGACTCTTAACCAACTGAGCCACCCAGGTGCCCCTGAAATACCATTTTTAATAGTACAGGCACATGGTAGAGAGTTCACATAGTGCAAGATACGCAAGAGAAAAGAAGCAAACCCCCCCCCATCCCCTAGCTGTCCTGGTCCCCTCCTTAAAATCAACTACTACCCTGTTTCTTGTATATCATGTAAGACATTTTTGTAACCATGCATGTGCATGTATCCTGTTAGTGACTCTTGGAAAAAAAAAAAAAACAAAACCTAACTAGGTTCTTTTGCTTTATGTCTAAATTACTAAATTTAATAAGTAATAGTTGTATCAGTTACCATGTTGTTGCTTCTCATGTCCAAATCCAGCCTTCACTGCCTTCTCTGCAGTAATGGATCCAGACTCTGTACAAAGACCTGGGCTCTCAGCAGATAAGAGTATAAAGCTCAGTCACTAGAGGGTAGTGGTGGAACACTTCTTTTCCCCTCAAGGCACTTCCAGTCCAGCTTCCACTGTGCCCTTCTAACAGCTCCCTGCCCAGGTGATTTTTCTAGCGCCGCCTACTGGCAGCACACAGCACCACCATAAGAACGGAGCCCTCTGGTACCCCCAAGGTACGTTCTCAGCAAGCTCACACCTTGGGCTACATTTCCACAGCTTCAACCCACGTCCAGGGCTGTGCCCTCTCCACTGAGTGCTGAATCTTAGAAATTCAGTTTTGTACTTGGTGCTGATACAGTAAGTGTTGAATCAAAAGCCTCCAAGAGCTTTTTTCCTTAAAGCCTACTTCTACTACCAAACAGTTGTTGCAAGTATTCAGGAGTATCTCTTGGCCCACAAAAGATACATCTGAATCCTGTGTTAAATTAAAAGTCTTGTTTCATTCAGTTAGAAAATAGATTCAGTCTTGAAATTCATCATTTTACCTGTAACTTGAATACTTCTTCCTTACTGTGGCTTAAAGGACAGATCAGTGTACCTCACTGCACTCCCATGGCTGTTTTTGATCTGCCTTACCACACTTAACCTGAAAATCAGATGCTGATCTGGATAATGGAGGATTAGGTGTATAAAACGGATTGAAGGCGCGCCTGGGTGGCTCAGTGCCTTAAAGCCTCTGCCTCCGGCTCAGGTCATGATCCCAGGGTCCTGGGATGGAGCCCTGCACTGGGCTCTCCGCTCGGCGGGGAGCCTGCATCCCCCACCCCCTGCCTGCCTCTCTGCCTACTTGTGATCTCTGTCTGTCAAATAAACAAACAAAATCTTTTAAAAAATTTAAAAAAAAAAAACGGGTTGAAGGACTGATCTTTTAGTTGTGGAAGATCATTCAGGTAACTGCAAAGGTACTGGTAATCTGTTTAAGCTCACTGATGGACAAGCAGTGTTCATTTGTGTGTGTGTTTTTTTAACATGCCTATTATTAGTACCCTTTTAGTGTTTAATGGAATGTTTAATAAAGTGTTTTGGGTCAGGTTTTTAGAATTGACAAAAATTTAACGGTTTTCAGCTAATTCTTCTGTAGCTAAATGTTATATTTCTGAGTGACTGGCGAGAATGGCAGCACCCTTTTCAGTAAATATTTAAGTGCTGGGATTAAGGTCTTTCTTTCATGGCGGTAAACAGTGTGATCCCTTCTGCATCCAGGAGGCAACCTAATATACGAAGGGGATGTGGCTTGGCAGTCACCACACACATTGACTCAAAGATTTAATGGTTGTGGCCTGAGTTCTGATACGGTCAGTGAAATGCCTGGAAATAGTCAACTCTTTCAAGTGTGGCATGTTGTCCAGTGCTTGAAAGAAATTTCTGTATCCTTCCTCTGTAATCTTGTGACTAACTGAAAGATTTAAGTTCTCAAGTTTCTGGAAACCTCCACTGGTTGCTACCTTGGCTATAAAAGCCAAGTATTTGCAAAAACAGAATCATAAGCACTTCATTTCGATAGTGGTAGATTAGGTTATTTGTACCAACCTCCCTCCCACAACCACCATCACCACTCAAAGTAGAAAATGCCCAGTTTTAGCTGCTTAAAAATCCCAAACCACTAACAGTAACGAACTACCTGCCCAAAACCCAAGGAAAAAGCAGAAACCAGAAAAGTTAAGACCACAGCACCAAAGCTACTCTTCCATGAGAGTTTTGCCATTCTGTGCTAATTTGGGTTTCTCTTGTGGTTTCACAGGACAACATGACTTGATCCCTAGAAAGTTTCTGCTTCTAAAGCCTTACACCTGGTAATGTTTTCAATACTTTCTACCATCCACTAGTATATGAAGCTTATCTTTTGTGTCCAGTTCCTGTATCAGCCATTCCTCCAGAGACTCCAGTTCCTTTTAGGGAGGTGTTCCTTTTAGTATTCAGGCGTGAAGATCTGGTGTGTGGGGTGTTCATTACGACTAGGTCGCTTTCTAATCTTTGTTGACTGAGCTATGTGTATGTGTGTGTATAGAAATACATAGCTCACTGTATCCATGTGTATCCATAGACTCACATACATACAGAGGTTAAAAACTTTTGAGTCCACCACAGTGTTCCCAAATCTAATTTAACACCTTAGAGTTCTTCACAGCCTCTCCCTTCAGTACTTCCAAATTCCTTCTGCAACAATGAGGAAACTTGGTTCTCATTCAACTTAATGTATTATTTACTTAGCTTGTTGTGTATGCCACTCACCTCCTCAGCCCCTGGATCTTGCCTCTGTCCTCCTCAGCCTTCCTGCTCCTCCCCCAGCCACATGCTGCCTGCAAAGGAAGGAAACAGAAGAGAAGAGCAAGACATCGAGGTGATCATGAAGCGGGCCAACGTTTAAGAAGCACTACTGCTCTATCTCCGTATCTCCGCTGACTCCTATTCTCCTCTGTTTTTAAAACAAAAACAAAAACCAAAAAAACACACAGGCCCAAAATGGAGTTCCTTCTGCTCATGCCCCGTATCATTAAACTAAGATTTAATTTTTAGTATGAGCTATCCCAGAAACAGAATCTTCAACCAACCAAGCAGGAATCACCTGATTAGCATTAGTTAGGTTCATCTGCCCAACAGACCTCTGCCATCCCCCCTAAAAGAAAATAACCTTAACAGTAACCAACTCACCTGCTTTTTCACCTACTATAACTTTCTCGTTCCTGCTCCTGTATACCTGTAAAGAAATCTTTCATTTTATACAGTTCTCAGAGCTCCTTTCTAGGTCCTTCATTCACTGGATGGTACCTGATTCGAATCCATTTTTGTTCAAATGAGCTCTCAAAACTTTTAATATGCCCTGGTTTATCTTTTTTTTTAAGATTTTATTTATGTTCGGTCATGTACATAAGCACAAGAAGGAGAAGCAGCAGGCAGAGGGAGAGGGAGAAGCAGGCTCCACTTTGAGCAGGGAGCCCAATGCAGGGGCTCAATCCCAGGACCCCAGGATCATGATGTGAGCTGAAGGCAGATGCTTAACAACTGAGCCACCCAGACACCCTAATATGCCTTAGTTTATCTTTTAACACCTAATAGAGGGGCTCCTGGGTAGCTCAGTTGTTAAGCATCTGCCTTCAGCTCAGGTCATGATTCCAGGGTCCTAGGATCGAGCCTCACATCAGGCTCCATGCTCGGCAGGAAGCCTGCTTCTCCCTCTTCCACTCCCCCTGCTTGTGTTTCCTCTCTCGCTGTGTCTCTCTCGGTCAAATAAGCAAAATCTTGGGTGGGGGGGAGTAATTCAGTGAAAATACTTCAGTGTAATATTAAAAAAAAACCCACCTATTAGAATTCTTCTGTGATTACACATTCTTTTTGTAACCATAAAAAAAACTAAAGTATTTAGGCAATTTCTATAATTATCATTTTGTTAATTCCGATTTCACATACTAAGTTCTCTTAAAAGATAGCTTTATCAATATGGGGTTCGTGGTGGCTCAGTCGGTTAAGCATTTGCCTTTGGCTCAGGTCATGATCCCGGGGTCCTGGGATCGAGCCCCACATGAGACGCTGCTAAGTGGGGTCCTGCTTCTCCTCCCTGCTGCTCTCCCTGCATATACTCTCTGTGTCAGATAAATAAAATCTTAAAAAAAAAAAGTTTTACCTATATCCCAAAAACTTTTGAAATAACAGGGATTAAGTATTCTGGAATGGGTCACATAAAATTTTATCAGGTTGTAATGACCAAATATGTGTTCTAAGAAGTACATTGCTCAGGGCACCTGGGTGGCTCAGTGGGTTGAGGCCTCTGCCTTCAGCTTGGGTCGTGATCCCAGGGTCCTGGGATCCAGTCCCACATCAGGCTCTCTGCTTGGCGGGGAGCCTACTTCCCCCCACCCCCTCTCTGCCTGCCTCTCTGCCTACTTGTGATCTGTTGAATAAATAAATTTTATTATAAAATAATTTTTTATAATTATAAATTATAACATTTATAAGTAAATTCTATTTTTAAAATATATAATTATATAAATGTATTATTTTATGTATTAATATTTATTATATAAAATATATTTTTACATTTATATATATAGATAGAATATATAAAATTATATTTTAAAAAAAGAAGTACATCACTCTGAGGACACTGCTTTGAATGAGATCAAGCATTTGGAGGATCCTGAAGAGCACTGTCCCTTCCTCCAAATGAGTAAGGGCAGCTAATACTACTATGACTTGTAGTTAATACAAATAGAAGGATTTTAGAGGAAGAACAAAAAGTAAAAGGCACGATTTTATAAACATACCAGATTTTTCAGGTGTTTCCTTATCAGGAAAGTGTTGGTATTCAAGATTTAATGTCTTCAAAGAAATAAAATTTGGAGAAACAATGACTATAAAAGGAAAGAAAAATACTTAGTTATGTTAGCTACATTTTTTTCCTCCAAATTTGTATTTAAAGTCTAGTTATTCAGCTCCATCTTTTATGCAAACAAATGTATTTAAACAGTGTTGTTAAAGGGACAGAAATTAATACAATAATTTAGACTTAATTAATATGACTGAATAAATAAAACAAATCTTAGCTTGGGAAAGAATTCTGGTAACTACAAATACTTAAACTTCAGAAACAAATACACCACGTTTGAAAATTCACTTAAAATCTGATCTATGAGGTGCGTGGGTTGTTCAGCTGGTTGTGTCTGCCTTTAGCCTAGGTCATGATATGAAGGAGCAAGCCTCCAGTTGGGCTCCCTGCTCAGTGGGGAGCCTGCTTCTCCCTCTGCCTCTCCCACTGCTTTATGCACTCTCTCTCTGAAATGAATAAAATCTTAAAAAAAAAATAAAAACATTGGGGCGCCTGGGTGGCTCAGTGAGTTAAAGCCTCTGCCTTCGGCTCAGGTCATGATCCCAGGGTCCTGGGATTGAGCCCCACATCGGGCTTCCTGCTCTGTGGAAAGCTTGCTGCTCCCTCTACTACTCCCCCTGCTTGTGTTCCCTCTCTGGCTGTTTCTCTGTCAAATAAAATAAAAATAAAATAAATTTAAAAATATACCTTTTTTTAAAAGTGCTTAAAATGACTGTATACAGATGAATCTTAAGCCAGTTTTGTGTTTGTAGCACTTACCAAGTGGGATGGTTGTAAAAATGGTCCAGAAAAATGAATTTGAAGGAATCCTTTCCTTGAAGGAAGCAAGTGAAATCATGAGAGATTCAAAATCGGAAAAGAAATTACATGGCAGATAAAAAACAATCTGGAGAATTCTGAGTTAATTTCACTGTAAAGTATCAAACATTTCAGCAATTAGAGAACATTCCAAATTCCTATCAGAATTAGCCATATAATTATCCTGTTTCAACAATAACAGAGTTAAAACAAAGCTGATCCATGATGTAATGATCAAAGAATTGGTCCACTCTGAGCTTACAGGTTGAGGTTCTGCAACTAACTGGTGAGCTGCGTGAACTTGGACATTCTCCAGGGATCAGTTTTCTCTTTTATAAAGTAGCACAGACTCCCTAAGGTCTCCAATTTTGCACAAAACATTTACACAGTAGGAATACTATACAAAGAAACAAAAGCAGTGACAAATTTGAAACAAAACCAAAATCTGATATAAAAATTATTGACAGGGGCGCCTGGGTGGCTTAGTCAATTAAGCATCTGCCTTCAGCTCAGGTCGTGGTCCTGAGATCCTGGGATCAAGCCCTGACTTGAGCTCCCTGCTCAGCGGAGAGTCTGCTTCTCCCTTTGCCTCTCCCCTCCCATCCATGCTGGCTTGCTCTCTCTCTTGCAAAAATAAAATCTTAAAAAAAAAATTACTGACAAATACCAAAACTACCACTTCCACATTCAGCTTCAAAGAACCATATTGCACGTAACTCTGCATGTTAATTCCACAGAGATTTACACTGCCTCAGTCTGTAGGGTTCAGCCTTCACTAAACTAAGAAACTGAGGACGCCTAAGTCATTTTTGTTCAATGATAAACAACTTGTTCAGCCATCTTTCCTCAGCACATCAGTCAGTAGGATAAGCTGGTGAGGAAAGGGGAAATGCTTTCAACAGCTAGCAATCAGCAGATTTCCTTCCCCCTGATCTGCAAGACCTGAATGTTAAAGTAGATGGGACTGACTGCATTCATGAAGCTAGGTTTGAGGTTTTATTTACTGCAGTATCCTCATCTGTACTTAGTACATGACAGGTGCTTAATAGGTATTTGTAGAACTTACTTTCCTATTTATGATGAGCAATTCCTACTAAAAAACCATTTTCTATCACAGTACCACACACTGCTAAAATAAACAAGGTGCTGGTGTTCATTACCATCAATTCACAAAGTTCACAATGGTTCTGAAGTCTGGAATCACTTCTGCAAAGGATTTCATGTTTTGGAGAAACTGTCAACTAAGCACAAAGTTAAACGATATAAGAACAGGAGCGCCTGGGTGGCTCAGTGGGTTAAGCCTCAGCCTTCGGCTTGGGTCATGATCCCAGCATCCTGGGATCAAGCCCCATATTGGGCTCCCTGCTTGGCAGGAAGCCTGCTTCTCCCTCTCCCACTCCCCCTGCTCGTATTCCCTCTCTCGCTGTGTCTGTCAAATAAATAAATAAAATCTTTTAAAAAATAAAAAAAAATTAAAAAAAGATATAAGAACAGTGGTAGGCAATTAAGTGCATTTGCCTTACGTTTTCAATTTTACTGTTAATAAAGAGCTTTAATCACAAAAATTAAGTATGAAAATGAGATGCCTGGTTGGCTCAGTCAGTTAAGCGTCTGCCTTAGGCTCAAGTCATAATCCCAGGGTCCTGAGATCGAGTCCTCCATCAGGCTCCCTGCTCAGCGGGGAGCTTGCTTATTTATTTGAGACCGACAACGCAAGCCAGGAGAGGGGTAGAAGGAGACGAAGAAGCAGGCTCCCCACTGAGCAGGGAGCCCAACGTGGAGCTCAATCCCGGGACCCCAGGATCATGACCTGAGCTGAAGGCAGATGATTAACTGACTGAGCCCCCCAGATGGCCCAATAAATAAAATCTTTAAAAAAAAAAAAAAAAGACAAGAAAAGTGGAGATTGTTGGGTCTAGATATGTACAGGTCCAGGACCATAAAGTGTATGTGGGGTTTAAGTGGGCTCAAGAAGGCCACAGCTTGACGGAAACCCCAACTCGCCTGTGTAGAGGACACCTGCTCTAGCCAGAGCTGCAGCTCCTGCAGGGGAAGCAAGGGGCCCGTTCTTAGGAGAGTCCAGTCAGAGCTCTTCATAAGCAAAGACAATGTCACTGCTGTAAGCTTAAACAAAAGGCATACTGTGAGACCAGCAAGCGTTGCTATTTCAAGTATCAGTGTTCAAATTATGCCTTTCTATATACACATGGAATGTGGATGTATAGCATTTGTTTCAGTGTTACTGGAGGATGGGTTGGGAAAGATGCAAGGCTATGAAGAAGCAGGACTGACGACACATCACTCATTGAAGCAGTGGAAGATACATGGTGGCTCTATGCTATGGTCTTATTTCTGTGTGGGTTCAAAGTTTTCTATAATAAAACATTCTCTCGGGCGCCCGGGTGGCTCAGTGGGTTAAAGCCTCTGCCTTCGGCTCAGGTCATGATCCCAGGGTTCCGGGATCGAGCCCCGCATTGAGCTCTCTGCTCGGCAGGGAGCCTGCTTCGTCCTCTCTCTCTGCCTGCCTCTCTGCCTGCTTGTGATCTGTCAAATA